CGAAGGGGGAGTCGGTCTTTTTGACAACAAAAAAAAGGGCCCGGGGGGCCCCCCCCCCCCATTGGTTATCCCAAAGGGAAAAGGGGGGAACCCCCGAAGGGGTTTTGGGGTTCCCCCCCCCCCCCCCCCCTGGCGGGGGGGATGCCTTGGAAACGGGATTCTTTTTTCGGGCCCTTGATTTGGTTTCCCCTTGGGTCCCCCCGTCCCCGAACCAGAGGGAAGGGCAGGGGGGGTCCCACCGCCTCCCTTTTTCATTTGGGGTGGAAAAAGGACCCCGGAAACTCGGGAAACACCCCTGTAATCCTAAGAGGCCCCCCCCCCCCCCCCCCCCCCCGCGACTGAAAAGGATGCCGAGAGTTTCGTTTGCCCTCATCCTCCGTAGATCTTGACCGAAAACGACGGCGGACCGCTGTTGGCTCTCTATTCTCGCTGCGAGCACAGGACACGCGTGCGTTGATCCTCCGCTCCGTCTGCTGACTTCGGCGGTCCCTTGACGCACGTGTGGAAGGGAAGGAGTGGTCACGCGCGGGTACAGCCACACTCGACCTGTGGCCTTGAAGGCGATCAACTGTACAGACAAACATCGGCTGCTGTGGTCGTAGATGCCCACTTTTTCAATGTCCCCCGCCCCCCCCTTTTTGGTTAGTCCTTGTGAAACGTAGCCTGGACCGGCGAAAACCCGGCATTTCGCTCCGTCCCGACATGGTAGGGATGCGAGGTCAACGGTCTGAAAAACGATTACGGCATGCGTTTACACGAGTACACCCCCCCCCTTACTATTCACGTGCCGTCCTCCGCCGCACTCCTTCCGCACCGGCGTCCTTTGCCCGCCCACCAGGAGAAACGCGGGAACCCGCTGACCTTCCTGCTAGTCCTAAACTCCGGGCACATGGTCCCGCTCGACCAACCGCGCGCCGCCCTGGACATGCTCAAGCGGTTCCTCTCTGGAGACGCGTTTTCCGACGGCGAGCAGGCCCTGGCCAGCGTCGGACGCTGCGACCCCAGCGACGAAGACTGCGACGATGCGGGACTCCCCGCCGACTCCCACCCCGCCGTCGCGCTCGTCCCCGGTACCGGCGGCGGCAGCGGCCGAGGCGGCGGCGGCGCAACCCCGCCCGCTCCGAGGATCGTAGGCACGCCCCTGGTGCGGCGGGACTCGGCCGTCGTGGAGTTCGCGCCCGGGGACGAGCAGGACGGGGCAGGAGGGGCTTCGCTTGCCGCTACCGGCGGCGGCGGCGGCGGCGGCGGCGGCGAGGCCGCGGTCGTCTTGTTCGAGGCGCGCAGCAGCCCTGACGGGCTCGTGGGAACCGGCCCAACGTCGCCGGTGGTTGTGGAGGGGCTCACCCCCGGCAGGACGTACACGTTCGCCGTCACCGCTGTCTACGCGGAGGCGGGGGCGGCGGCAGGCGAGGGGGGCGGGGCGCGCTCGGTCCCTTCGGTGGGGTCCCCGGCGGTAACCCCGGGCTGCGGCGAAGACGACGGCGGCGGCGCGTGCGGCGGGCACGGGGCGTGCAGGGAAGGGGGGCACGAGGGCATCTGCGTCTGCGAGAACGGGTACGGCGGGGACGTGTGCGACGTCCTCTTGGCGGCCGGCGGCGGGCTGAAGGGCGGCGGCGGCGGCGGCGGCGGCGGTAGCAGCGGGGGGTCGTTCGTCGGTCCGGACGGGTACGTGGGTGATATCAAGCTCTTGCTGGAGGAGGACATCCCTATGCTCAAGAGTACAGGCACGACGGTGT